GGAAAGAGATTCAATATCCATGATATGTGCGGTTTCTTCAGTGCCACCCAAGCCATCTGTGGTCTGAGCACTCAGGGACCAACAAGACCTAAGGATGGAGGAGACCTGGTCAAGGAAAGGGGAGCCATCAGTGCCTATTGGAAGGAGCATTTTGAAGACCTTTCAGTTGAGATTGTTGTTAAGGAGAGTGATCTCAACTTCATTCTGAAACACCCAGTCAGAGGTGATCTCGGAATCCCTCCAACCCTTGACAAGGTGAGGAAAGCCATCAATCAGATGAAGAAAGACAAGGCATCTGGAGCTTATGGAATCCCTGCCGAAATCTTCAAGCAGGGACAGAAAGGAGCTCACTTCACAGCTCCATGCCCTCATCTTACGGATTTGTAATGATAAGGAAATCCTAGATGATCTCAGTGATGCCATGATCATGACAGTCTTCTAGAAAGCAGACACGTCCAACTGTGGAAACTATAGAGGGATCACCGTGCTGTCCACCACAGGAAAGATTGTTGTGAGAACCCTCTTGAACCATCTTCTTCCACTTGCTGAAGCGCTTCTTCACCCAGAATGGTTTAGGGCATCAGGGGGCACAACTGACATGATCTTCATAGCTCACCAGCTTCAGGAGAAATGCCAGGAACAATATAAGCCTCTCTACATGGCCTTCTTTGACCTCACGAAAGCGTTGGACTCTGTCAAACACAAAGCGTCCTTCTGGGGTATGGATGTCCACCAAAATTCATCACCGTTCTTTGCCTGCTCCGTGACAATATGTGAGTGGTGGTTCTCAAAAACATCTATCACAGAGACTTTTGAAGTTAAAATGGAAGTTGTTAGGATGCATCATTGCTCCAGCTCTCTTTGATATTCCTTACCACAATGCTGCATCTGACTACCAACAAGCTTCCAGTTGGAGTGGAGCTAAACTATCGAATGGAAAGTAAGCTGTTTAATCTCAGCCGACTCCAAACCAAAACCAAGACCAACCTGACCTCAGTCATTGAGCTCCAGTATGCTGATGATGTTGTAGTCTGTGCTCACTCGGAAGCAGACCTTCAGGCAGTTGTTGACATGTTTACTGAAGCGTAATGGGACTGACACTTAACATTCAGAAGACTTAAGGTCCTCCATCAATAAGCTCTTAATGAGCAGTCCCCAGCTCTGGTAATCCAGATCCATGGTGAGACTCTGGAGAACATCAAGTATTTCCTGTACCTTAGAAGCCATCTCTCGCAGAAGGATGACATCAATGAAGAAACCCAACATCACCTCAAATGTGCAAGTGAAGCCTTCAGACACCTGAGGAGATGGGTGTTAGAAGATCACATCAGATCCAAAACAAGCTCATGGTTTATCAAGCAGTCATGATCCCCACCTTACTGTACGGAACTGAGATGTGAGCAGCATACAGAAAACACCTCAAGTTGTTGGAGAAGTACCATCAGCATTGCCTGTGGAAGATCCTTTGAATCCAGGGGGAAGACAGACACACCAAAGTTAGCATCCTCTCACAAGCAACCATCACAAGCATTGAGGTGATGATCATCTAACACTTGACTTTGCTGGGGCAGATACATCATCCGGATGTCCAACTTCAGACTCCCAAAGAAGTTTTATTCTTCCAGCTCAGTCAAGGCATATATGCTTAAGAGAAGGGCAGAGAAAGTGCTTCAATGATGTCCTCAACACCAGCTTGAAAACATGCAACATTAGCATCAACTTGTGGAAAACTATTGTCCAGGACCACCCCAAATGGAAAAAGTCTATTGCAAGGATCTCAGTACTTTTGATGACAACAGGAGATGGAAAAGTGGGAGTGGCAAAAACAGCATGTTGCACACCATATCAAGAATCCAGAACCATCCCCCCTAGGTGGAAACATTCCAGAGTTACAACAGAGCCTGTCAATCCCAAATTGGCCTCGTCATCTATATTGAGACCCAGAGATAGGGCAATCGTGGAAGAAAATCATCCTTTACTGTGAAGGATTGCCGAAAAACAATGTGCAAAGAATTGTGGGTCATACAGGCTAAGGTTCGCTTTTTACAATGGCGTGTGGGTAATAAGGCTTTATCTGAGCCTGTTGTAAGGGATTCTGGGTGACAAGATTCCAATCTTGGCCAGGACCCTCTGGGAATAGAGAGCAATGAAAGTCTAAGGTTGCTGTCTTGCTCCAGAGGATTGTGGGTAATGGAGCCCAAGGTTGCCCCTCTTGCAAAGGATTCTGAGTAATAGAGATCAATATTGTCCTTTTTAAGCAAAAGATTCCGGGGAACACTGCTTAGAGCCCAGCTTTGGGGGGGCAGGGGGCGGGGGGTCCTGCATAAGTCTGGGTAACACTACCAGTTCACAGGTGAGTCTGGGTAAGGACGTTATTTCATGGCATTCTGGGTACAAGCCTCCTTTTTCCCCCTGGCGCTGGGCATTGTGGGGACTATGGCTGCCAGCGTACTCCGCGGCCGGGGGAAAATGGCGGCCTCCCACGGCCATGGCCTGCCTTCGCCTTCTGGCCCACGAAACTACAATTCCCATGAGACCTTGCCGCACAGGACAAAATGGTGCCCCTGCTCACTCACCAGCTGCAAAAGTTGGTGGGAGCCGGTACTGCGCCCGCCTCCCAGCATACCTTGCGAGCACGAGGACCGCCCCCAAGTGGCGCCACCCACTACTGGCGCGGGAGCCAACATGGCAGCGAAGAGCCCGCGGCATTCCGGGAGCTGCAGTCCCAGCCGTTCCCTCAGCGGGTCCTCCAACTTCTCGCGGGATTGTACCTTCCAACATACTCTGCACGCAGAGGTTGTCCGCCCCTCTTTGCAACAGGGCTGACGCGATACCCACAATCTCTTCTGGGAGTTGTAGTCCTTAAGGGCAACGTACCATTGACACCAATGAGGGGCGGGACTACAATGCCCACCATGCCCTGCGCGTGGTGTTGCGCTCCTCTATCTCCCGCTTGCGACACCCAGGTATTTCCCTGTTGACACCAGAGGGGCGGGACTACAACTACCAGCATGCCCGGGGGTGGGAGGGGAGAGAGGTAGGGAGAACGTGAAGCCAGCAATATGGCGGCTGGCCCACGATTATGGCGGCTGCCGCGGCCGTGGTGGTGGCCGCAGCCTCTCAGAGCAGGTGTCTGTGAAGGGAGGGCTTGCGGGTCGGAGAGGAGGCACCCTGGCCTGAGGTGAAGGCTGGGGTAGGCCCGGCCTAGGCGGCACTATGGGAATCCAGGGTTTCCAGGAGTTCGTGGAGAAGCGCTGCCCTGGTGCTGTGGTGCCCGTTGACCTCCTCAAGCTGGCTCGGTCGTTAGCGGGGCGGGGCGGGGCGGGACCCTCGGCCCCCTGGGTTGGCAGTAGGAGCTGGACCTTACCCTTCGCTGTCACCACCAACTTCCCAGTGTGCTTCAGGGTTGGCGTCAACAGCCGGGCTCTACCCATCGACTTCCCAGCATCCAAAGTGGGTGGCATCAATGGCTGGGCCTTACCTGCCATTGCCAACTTCCCAGCATGCCTCAGCACTTGGACCCTACCCATCAAGTTCCTAGCATGCCTCAGGGCTGGTGTCAGTGGCTGGGGCCTATCCACTGACTTCCCAGCATGCCTCAGGGTTGGCAGCAGCCTCTGGGGCATACCCACCACCTTGCCAACATGCCTCAGGATTGGTGATAGTGGCAGCTGGGGCTTATCCACAGGCTTCCCAGCATGCCTCAGGGTTGGCAGCAGCCTCTGGGGCATACCCACCACCTTGCCAACATGCCTCAGGATTGGTGATAGTGGCAGCTGGGGCTTATCCACAGGCTTCCCAGCATGCCTCAGGGTTGGCAGCAGCCTCTGGGGCATACCCACCACCTTGCCAACATGCCTCAGGATTGGTGATAGTGGCAGCTGGGGCTTATCCACAGGCTTCCCAGCATGCCTCAGGGTTGGCAGCAGCCTCTGGGGCATACCCACCACCTTGCCAACATGCCTCAGGATTGGTGATAGTGGCAGCTGGGGCTTATCCACAGGCTTCCCAGCATGCCTCAGGGTTGGCAGCAGCCTCTGGGGCATACCCACCACCTTGCCAACATGCCTCAGGATTGGTGATAGTGGCAGCTGGGGCTTATCCACAGGCTTCCCAGCATGCCTCAGGGTTGGCAGCAGCCTCTGGGGCATACCCACCACCTTGCCAACATGCCTCAGGATTGGTGATAGTGGCAGCTGGGGCTTATCCACAGGCTTCCCAGCATGCCTCAGGGTTGGCAGCAGCCTCTGGGGCATACCCACCACCTTGCCAACATGCCTCAGGATTGGTGATAGTGGCAGCTGGGGCTTATCCACAGGCTTCCCAGCATGCCTCAGGGTTGGCAGCAGCCTCTGGGGCATACCCACCACCTTGCCAACATGCCTCAGGATTGGTGATAGTGGCAGCTGGGGCTTATCCACAGGCTTCCCAGCATGCCTCAGGGTTGGCAGCAGCCTCTGGGGCATACCCACCACCTTGCCAACATGCCTCAGGATTGGTGATAGTGGCAGCTGGGGCTTATCCACAGGCTTCCCAGCATGCCTCAGGGTTGGCAGCAGCCTCTGGGGCATACCCACCACCTTGCCAACATGCCTCAGGATTGGTGATAGTGGCAGCTGGGGCTTATCCACAGGCTTCCCAGCATGCCTCAGGGTTGGCAGCAGCCTCTGGGGCATACCCACCACCTTGCCAACATGCCTCAGGATTGGTGATAGTGGCAGCTGGGGCTTATCCACAGGCTTCCCAGCATGCCTCAGGGTTGGCAGCAGCCTCTGGGGCATACCCACCACCTTGCCAACATGCCTCAGGATTGGTGATAGTGGCAGCTGGGGCTTATCCACAGGCTTCCCAGCATGCCTCAGGGTTGGCAGCAGCCTCTGGGGCATACCCACCACCTTGCCAACATGCCTCAGGATTGGTGATAGTGGCAGCTGGGGCTTATCCACAGGCTTCCCAGCATGCCTCAGGGTTGGCAGCAGCCTCTGGGGCATACCCACCACCTTGCCAACATGCCTCAGGATTGGTGATAGTGGCAGCTGGGGCTTATCCACAGGCTTCCCAGCATGCCTCAGGGTTGGCAGCAGCCTCTGGGGCATACCCACCACCTTGCCAACATGCCTCAGGATTGGTGATAGTGGCAGCTGGGGCTTATCCACAGGCTTCCCAGCATGCCTCAGGGTTGGCAGCAGCCTCTGGGGCATACCCACCACCTTGCCAACATGCCTCAGGATTGGTGATAGTGGCAGCTGGGGCTTATCCACAGGCTTCCCAGCATGCCTCAGGGTTGGCAGCAGCCTCTGGGGCATACCCACCACCTTGCCAACATGCCTCAGGATTGGTGATAGTGGCAGCTGGGGCTTATCCACAGGCTTCCCAGCATGCCTCAGGGTTGGCAGCAGCCTCTGGGGCATACCCACCACCTTGCCAACATGCCTCAGGATTGGTGATAGTGGCAGCTGGGGCCTATCCACTGACTTCCCAGCATGCCTCAGGGTTGGCAGCAGCAAGTGGGGCCTACCCACTGCCTGCCTCACATGCCCTAGGCTTAGCATCGACTCCCACCCGGCTACTGGTGGATGCGGACTCAGGGCTACAGCAGCTGTATGGCGGCTACCAGACGGACTGGATGTGCGGGGGCCAATGGAATGCCATGGTGAGCTACTTGGCGGCCTTGGCCCAGGCCTGTGCATGCCAGGGCGGCCTGGAGCTGGTGGTGATTTTCAATGGAGGGTTGGGCAAGGAGTGCCTGCCTGAGTGGGGGCGGCAGGCCAAGGCTGAGCGCCAGACTGCACAGCTCATCTCCAGCCATGTGGCCCACAAGGGCACCCCCCCCACCCCATGCCTGGTTCCTCCCGCCTGCCTGCCTGGGCCACTGTGTCCGCCTGGCCATGATCCACTTCCGGGTCAAGGTAAGGCCACAACTTTTTCTCCTTCCTCACCCTCACCCCTAATCCCTGAATTTTAACCCCTGCCTGTGCTTTGGTTTTAAGACACTTATCTTCCCTCCCTTTGCTCCCTTGCCCTGGACTATGACCCTTCACCTCATGCCTGGGTAGAGTGGCCATCATAGAGGACATTCTGGATTTCTGCTACTCTGTCCTCTATTGGTATGAAACCGGACCCCTTTATGTCCTCTATTTTTCTCTTGAAGAGAAAAATAGAGGACATAAAGGGGTCCGGTTTCATATAAGTAGAGGACAACCAGACTGTCCTCTATGATGGCCACCCTATGCCCAGAAGCCGCTGAACTCTGACCCTTACCTTAGCCATGAACCTAGACCCCTGTGCTTTTGTTACTTAACATCTCTTTCTCTTTCAAATTTTTGTGCTGTGATCCCTGACCTGTGACCCTTTCTTCTCATCCCTGGGTGGCCCCAGAACTTTGATGCCCTGCCCAAGCCATTATACCAGATCCTTGTGATTTTCCTGAACTCTCAGCCATGATTCTTGACGTATGATCGCTGAATTTTGGCCCCACCCAAGCCATGTTTCCTGGCCTTTGTGATTTCCTGGAGCTCTGAACCGTGACCTGTGACCCCTTCCCCTGTGTTGCAGCTGTCAAGGTGACTCCTGACCTTTCTCTTTGCACATATCCTGTTTTATGACTCCTCATAGTCCCTGAACTCTATCCTAATGCCCCCAAGCCATGTGCCTACATGGTGCATGAGCCATGCTCCCTGACCTCAGACCCCACATTCTCATGCCTGTTTCCCTGATGCTTCTTCAACCTCTGATCCAGAGCCTGTCCCCTTATTTTTTCTATCCCTGAACTTTCACCCTGATTCCTGACCCCTTCCTCTTAAACCAGTCCTCTGAAATCTAAGCATCAACCCCTGTCCTCTGACCCCCTTCCTTTCACTTCCCAATTTGGGGGGAACAGTGCATGTGATGCATGAGCAGATATGGTAATTGTGATGCCAGGATAGCTGCTCCGTGCCACCTAGTGGCAAAGAGGTGCATCTTCAGGCTAGTGTGTAAATTATCCCTGGATTACTGGCTATGCATCCACTTCAGATCCTGGTGGTGTCCCATACATGGAAATTACACCCTCAAGTGTCCTGGCCCTTGGGGAAGTGGTTGATCTGGAGTCACGGCTATCACCAGGGTTACTTGCCAGGCGCTTTATGTTAGAGTAGAATCAAAGTGTGTGCTTCTATTTCAGGCAAAAAAAAAAAAAGCTTCCTAGTTTAAGACCCGCTTCCCTCTTACGAATTTTTGAGGAAAGGAACATATAGTATACAAGATGATATGGTAGTAGGGCATGTGGTGTATGAAAAGATATGGTAGTAGGGACACGTGGTATACGAGAAGATATAGTAGTGGAGTGTGTGTTACATGAGACTATATGGCAGTAGGGGTGTGTGGTATATAAGACAATATGGTAGCAGGGGCATGTGGTGTATGAGAAAATAGGGTAGAATCCAGGACAAACTCCTCCCCCCCACCCCACACACACACCGTCCCCACCCCAGTGTTGGGATTGGGTCTCGGGGTCCAGCACTGCCCCCTCTAAACCCACACACACCCAGATTGGATCCCAGAGGGTCAGTACTGCCCTTCTTGCTTCTCCCCTCCCCCAGTAATAGGGGTTTGTGGTATATGATAAAACAAGGTAGGACATTTTGATTTAAAGGCATTAAACAGGGTTCTATCAATTCAGTGGCCTGGGCCTGGTTGAAACTTTAGCAGCTAGTTCCATCCCTTACTGTCCAACTCCATCTTGGAAGTGGTGAATGAACTTCCCTGCTCATTAGTAGCCATGACAACCCCTTTGAATAGACCGCACTCCCAGGAGACCCCTTTGAGCCCCCAAAGTTCGGTCCTGGCAACCTTTATTCCTGCCCCCACAGTTACTTCCTCCACCACCATAGAATCTAACCGGGTTTGTATGCTTTGCTACAGGTCTTCCAGAGCTTGGAGGACCATCACCAAAAGGTGGTTGCCTTCTTTCGGGAGAGTGGCTGCCATGGGCTAATTGCCCATGATGCTGAGTATGCCCTGTGCAACATCCCAGCCTACTACAGCTCCCATGCCCTCAAACTTAGCTGGAATGGCAAGAGCCTCACCACCAACCAGTTCCTCATGCAAGAGGTTGCCAAGAAGCTGGGCCTCAAGGCCTCCAGCTTCCCTGTCTTCGCTGCGCTGCTGGGTAGGTGGAACTGGGCCTGGGTGGGGGCATCAGGATACCTAGGGGAGTTGATATCTTGCAGCACAGCATCTTCATGCTTCTATTCCCGCAAAGAAAATGGTCTTCCCTGCATAAGGCATTTGCTCTAATTTTGGGGGTCTGATTTTTTGGTGGAAAAGGTGCACTGGGGATGGTGGCTGGGCTGTGTGCTGGGACTCAAATCTGGCTGCAGGGTCTTGCCCCTTTGCTGAGGGTCAGACTGATGCCATACTTGGGGTCAGGAAAGAATTCCCCCCCCAGTCAAAGAGGTATGTACTGGGCGGGGGCAGAGGTTGCCTTTTAATGTAGTGGGGGCATTGCCTCTACCTGAGATCTCTGGAGTATATATTAACAACCTATTCCAGCAGCGGGACGTTAACCACTGCAGCCCCTCTGCTTTTCCTGTGGAGGGCTTGGGTGTGATGTCTGGTGCTGTGTCAGGGTGGATGGTAGTTTTGCTAAGAGGGTAGATGATCAGTGTGTCTGGGATGGTTTGGATAGGGCTGATCCTGCCTCAGGCATGGAGTTGAACTAGAAGTGATTTCTCTCTCTCTCTCTCTCTCTCTCTCTGTATATATATGAGAGAGAGAAAGCACACTAAACATAACTATATATTTATATCTGTATTTATGTAAATCTGTGTAGATGTGTCTAATCCTTATATAGATCTATGTAGATAGATCTACATGTACACATATACATGCACATATATAGGCATTCAGTATATCTGTGTAGCTCTACATAGGTGTAATTAATTTGTATTTATTTACCTATGTATTTATATCTGCATGTACATAGATGTATGTAGATGTATCTACATGTGTGTGTACACACATACACATGTATAGAGGGGTTAGATATATTTACATAGATCTATGTAGATACATTTAATTTCTGTTTATCTGCCTACATATCTATATATTTACATGCTATGTATTTCTCTGTCAATTTACATACATTTGTCCACATGTCTGTCTGTTTGTTTGTTTGTTAACTTATCTGTGTGCATGTGTACCTGCCTGCCTATTTATATTTGTCTATCTACCTACTAATCTATCCACTTATCTACTTCCCTACCTACTAATTTATTTACTAATTTATTTATCTAATCTATCTACATACCTACCTACCTACTTATTTATCTATTTACCTATTTACGTACGTGCATACATACCTACATACTTGTTTACCTGTTTATCTGTTTACTTGTCTATTTATCTACTTACTTACCTGTGTAGCTATATCTAATTTATTTCTGGAGGTCCCTTCCAGCCCAACTTCTGAATGATCTCTGTGAAAACCCATGATGATACAGGACAATACATTAATTCTCAGCCCAGCACATCAATCAATACAATTATGATACATCAGTTCTCAGCCCAGTGCTTCCTTTGTTTAACAGGATGTCTGTGTTAGAGAACCACTTGGAGGGGGTACTCTGGGCCAGTATGGTCTATGGCCAGGGGGTATTGGAGGACACTGGTTAGCCAAGATTCTCTGGTCAGGGAGCTCATGGGAGGGTAGGGGGTTGAGGACTACTCTCTAGACCGGGGTCTCTGGTCAGGGAGTTGGAAAAAGGTGGGTGTGGTGGGCATTTATGCAGATGTGCTTAGGCACGGTTAAGCAGTTGTATACATCTTATTTGCAAAATGGCCCCAGATTTATTGCCCTGTTGCCAGAGTTGTAAACACCTCCTTTGAGAAGGGGCTTTCAGTACTTTCCCTCTTCTCTCATTGGTCAATTCTTCCCCCCACCTCCACTCCCCCACCCAGGTAACCACATCCTCCCTGATGAGGACGTGGCTGCCTTTCACTGGAGCCTGCTGGGCCCGGACCACCCACTGGCATCACTCAAGGTAGCCCCACTCCTGGCCCTACCCCACAGGGCAGCCCAGGGGGTGGGGGCTGGAGGCCTGGATGCCTGGGTCCTCATTTCAGCCCTGGGATGGGCATAGGGGCTAGCAGATTAGAGCAGAGGCTGGGGCCCTGGACACCTGGGTTGTATCCTGGCTCTGGGAGGGGTGTGGTGCAGGTAAAGGGTGTGAGGAGGAAAGGGTGTCCTGGACTTCTAGGTTCTGTCCAGGGTCTTGAGGCAGGGATGGAAGCCAGGACTCCTGGGTTCTGTCTTTGTTCTGGTGGAGGAGGAGAGTCTAGAGTGTGAGAGCAGGGAGTGGCTGGGAGCCCAGATGCCTGGGTTCTCTGGAAAAGAGTAGGGTCTCTTGGGAACTGGGAAGCTCTTGGGTTCTCCAGGAAGGAAACAGGGTCTGGTAGGATAGAGCAGGGAAGAGTTGGGAACCCGAACACCTGGGTTCATTGAGGGAGGTGTGGGAGCTGGGGGGTTAGAGCAGGGAGGGATCTGGAGCCTGAACATCTGGGTTTTACTGCAGCTCTGGGAGAGGAGTGTTCTCAGACAGGTTAGAGCAAGGAGTTGGGAGCCTGGACACTGGGGTTCCCAGGCTCATCACCCAGTCTGTTTCTCCCTTCCATAGGGTGCGGGGGGAAGGATGGCAACACTTTCTGACAACTCTAGGCTTGATCCCTGTGGTCAGAGAGCATGTATAGGGCTTGAGAGGACACTCTAGCTGGGGTCTCTGTGGTCAAGAACAATCTGTGTGGAGGGGTTGTATACCACTCTAGGCATAGTCTCTTTGGTCAGGGAGCCTATATCGTGGGTGGTGTGGCACTCTACAGTGGGTCTCTGTGGTCATGGATGCTCTAAGCCAGGTCTCTGTAGTCAGAGAGCACATAAGGCTGTCGGAAAGACACTTTGATTAGGGAGTCTGTGTTGGTTTGGGGGTCTCTATGGTCTGGGTGGTGTCAGTGGTTACTGTAGGCAGAGTCTCTATGGTTGTGGATTGTAGGTAGGGTTAAGGGGCTCTGTAGACTGGGTCACTATGCTCTAGTGTTGGGGGCCCTCCAAGCTGGGTCTCTGTGATCATTATGGATGCTGCCTGCAGGAGACCTTCTAGGATGAGTCTCTATGGTCATGGATCCTATATTGGGGGATTAGTGGATGTTCTAAGCCAGAGCACTATGGTCTGGAAACACCTGGGAGTGTTTGGATCCCTCTAAGCTGGGTCTCTATGGTCATGAATCCTACATGGGGGTTAGGGGAAACTCTAGGATAGATCTATGGCATCTGGGAATATTAGGGTTCCTCTAGATTGAGCATTTAAGGGCAGGGATTCTATGTGGTGGGGATTGGAGTTGATGTAGGCTGGCTCTCTATAGTCACATTCTACATGGGAATTAGAGGGCTCTTTGGGTCAGATCTCTATGGTTTAGAAACACCTGGGGGTATTGGGGTCTCTCTAGGTTGACTCTCTATGGTCAGGTTGCACCTAGGAGTGTTGGAGTCCTTCTAGGCTGGGTCTTTATGGTCATGGATTCTATGTGGCAGTCATTTTAGGCTGGATCTCTATGGTTTAGAAGCGCCTGGCGTTGAGGTCCCTCTAGGTTGGGTCTCATGGATACTACTTGGCGGGGATTAGGGGGAATCTAGGCTGAGTCTTTGTGATCTAGGATGACATGGGTGCATTGGGGTCTTTCTAGACTGAACCTATGGTTGAGGTGGACATGCCAGCAAACAGCTTCTTTGCCATGGGATCCCTCATGCCAAGTGCCCTCTCTCGTATCTCTCCCCACACCAGGTCCATGCCCACCAGCTGGTACTGCCCCCCTGTGATGTGGTAATCAAGGCCATCTCGGAGTACGTGGCCTCCCTGCCAGACCCTGCTAACCTGGACAGCATTGGCCAGGACATCTTCAAGCACTCCCAGGTAGGTGGGACCCTTTACCCCTTCTCCCCCTCTGCCAGCCTCCATGAGAGCAGATTGGGGACCAGTGCACCCCATCCCCCAGCTGAGAGCCTGGTCCCAAGTGCCAGGGGCTGTATAGACCCCAACCCCCAGCTATTCAGCACTCCCCCAGGGCCAGGATAACCCCACCTCCCCAAGGACTGGGGGCTGTACAAACCCCACTCCCAGCTGACAGAGACCCCTGCCCCTCCCCTCGGATTGGGGACTGCCCTGTGTGTCAGGGGACCCAGTCCCCAGTTCAGAGACACCCCTCAGAGCCAAGATTAGCCCTCACCACCAAGTGCCAGGGACTGTACAGTCTGACTTCGGCTATTTAGAGACCCCCTGGGACCAGAACTGAGCCCACCCCCAAGCACTAGGAGCTGTGTAGATCCCAACCCCAGCTTTAGAGAGCTTCCCTACAAAAATCAGGCTTGCCCCATCCGTATACCAGGGGCTGTACAATCAGGCCCCACACCCTTAGCTGAGAGTGGGGTCTCCAGTCTGATGGGACCCCATATACCAACCCCCCATGGGAGCTGAGATCAGACTAGTGGTAGCCAGACCCCCCCCTTCCCATTCTCCTTTCCCCCAAAGCACACCCAGGCTCTGTAGGACGACCCCAGCTTTCTCTGCCCCTGCAGTCCAGGACAGAGGACAAGATGACACGGTTGAAGAAGGCAGTAGAATACTACTCAGTGTGGGGCTGGGCGCCGCCCCTACCCCCTGTGCCCTCCTCCTGCCTGTGTGAGTATGCAGGGTACCCCTGCTGGAAGCCTCCAGCCCCCCACTGCTGCCTCTTTCTGGGAGATTCCCCCAACAGCACCTCTGTCCGTGGCACCTACTGGTGGACCCCCCAACCCTCTACCAACCCCTTTGCCGCATGGTGTCTTCTGCTGGAAGCCCCAACTCCCCAGCCAGTGCCCCCTTCTGGAAACTGGTCCCCAGCCAGCTCCCTTGCCCCATGGTGCCCCTGCTGGACCCCCACCAGTCCCCCTACCCGTGGCCTTGCCCTGTGGCATATCCTGCTAGATCCCCCTACCCCTTGCTGTACCCCCCCAACCCCCACATCAAGTGTCCTCTTGCTAGGAGCTCCCCCATGCCAGCTCCCCAGTCCTGTGGTGCCCCATGCTGCCCCCCCAGCCAGCTCCCCTGTCCCATGGTGCCCCCTTTTGGAAGTCCCCAGCTTCCCTATCAATGGCTCTTCCCCTACAGCACTCCCTGCTGGTCCCCTCTTGTGGCAGCACCCTCTGTTGGAAGCCCCCACCATCCTCCACTCAGCCAGAGCCCCCTGCTAGATCCCTCCCACCAGCCAACTCCCCTGCCCTATGGCATCCTCTGCTGAAAGGCCCCAAACCCCCATCAATGGCTCTGCCCTTGGTGCTCCCTGCTGCCTCCCCAGCCAATGTCCGCTGCTGGAAGCCCCCTCCAACCTCCTTCAGCACCCTCCTGGTAGGATCTGAACCACCCCTCACCCCCAGAAACCAGCTTTCCTGCCCCCCTCTTTTCACAAACCAGTGGCTGCCAGGGGGCGGGACTGGGAGGACTGGTTTGGATGAGTTTTTGGGCTGGGCCACATCCCCTGCTTTCTGTCCAGACAGTCCCGACTTTTGGCCCCCAGCAGTGGTGGGGCAGCACTCAACCAGTGCAGCCCCACTGGATCCCTCCCTGGTGGGAGGCTGATGGTATGTTTTGCTCAACTGTCCCTGATGCCTGGGTTCTTAGGGGGGTGTGGTGGGGGGGGCGTGTTGGGGAGTGAGAGATGGGGGCACTCAGAGCTCTAGATGCCTGGGTTCTCTGGGAGGGGAGTGGGGCTGGGGTGAGAGCTGGGAGCCTGGACACCTGGGTTCCCTCCCCGTTTGTGTGCATCTCTTCTACCCCCCAGTTTGGGAAGCTACAGTACCAGGCCCCATCCCCTACCTCCAGTTCCGCCCCCGACTCTGGCTCCACCTTCCCTTCACCCTCTCCCACACTGGGTGAGGACCCCATTCTCAGTGGCTGGGCACTGACCTTCCACCCCAAGTGCCCCACCCCTGGCCTGGGTGCCAAAGCATCAACCTCCTCTTCCTCTGACGGCGTTGATGACCATGGTGGGGCCAGCACCAAGTGAGTGGAAACAGGGCACCTACCTGGACGCCTGGGTTTCATGTGGAGGAAGGGCCAGGGACCAGATGCCTGGGTTTTGTCCCAATCTGGGAGAGGGCAGCAAGTGAGAGTTGGGTGCCCGGACACCTGGGTTCCATCCTGCTTCGAGGGGTAGCTAGTGAAAGCTTGGTGCCCGGATGCTTGGGTTCTGTTCCTGGAAGAAGAGCAGGTGAGAATTGGGCTCCCAGATGCCTGGGTTCTATCCCACTCTGGGCTCCCAGCCATCGCCCGTTCCTACTCCTGGATGCCTGGGTTCTGACCAGGAAGTGGGGAGGGAGTGAAAGCTGGTGGCCTCGATGTCTGGGTTCTATCCCTTTCTGGGAAAGGGAATGGGTGAGGGCTGGGATCCCGGACACGCGGGTTCTGAGTAGAGAGTGGGGAGGGAATGAAAGCTGGGGGCCTGAGCACCTGGGTTCTATCCCACTCTGGGAGGGGCAGTGAGTGAGAGTTGGGAGCCCAGACACCAGGGTTCTGACCAGGGCAGGACCGGATGAGAGCTGGACACCTGGATTGCCCAGGTTCCAGCTCCCTGGCTCATGCCTCGTCCTCCTTTCCACTCCTCCCCATCCCTGCCATAGCCACATGCCAGGGGTGGGGCAGCAGGGTGGGGTTTGGGGGCCAGTGGGGGGCGAGGCTGAGCCCCCCATCCCCTTGCTGCTGTCCATGGCCACACGGCTCCACCTGGACCTGACAGCCCCTCCACTCCCCCCTGTGGTGCCTGAGGTCTTGCGCGTGGCCCAGCACCGACACCGGCATGGCCTCATGTACCCTGGCATCTACCACCTGCTTACCAAGGTCAGTCCCTGCTGAGCCTGGATGCCTGGGCTCCAGTCCTGCTTCGGAGGGGGGCTGGGGACACAGATGCTGGGTTCCAGCTCTGGGGGCCCAGACACCTAGGTTCCAGCCCTGCTCTGGGGAGGGGAGCTAGGGGCTGGGATGCCTGGATTCCAGCCCAGCTCTGGCAGTGGGGCTGGGAGCTCAGATGCCTGGGTTCTTTCCCTGGGAGGCCTGGACACCTCGGTTACATCCCTATTTGGGGTGGTGTTGGGAGCCCAGATGCTTGTATTCCATCTTTGCTGGGGGGCGGGCACTGGGGGTCCAAATGCCTGGGTTCCTCTCCTGGGGGGCCCAACTCCTGGGTTCCAACCCTATTTCGCAGGGGAAGGGGATAGAGCTGGACACCTGGGTTCTATCTCTGCTTCGGGGGATGGGGCTGAGAGCCCAGACACCTGGGTTCCCTTCCTGTTTGTGGAGAGAGGGGAGGGGATTGGGGGGCCCAGACACCCAGGTTCCATCCCTGGATGCCTGGGTTCAGTCCCTGCTTTGGGGCGGGGGGGGCTCACATGTTGGAATTCTTCCCCCAGGGGGTCCAGACACCTCCCTGTTAGAGGTGGAGCTGGTGTCCCAGGTCTGGGGTGCCTTTCTCAGGGGGCCCAGATGACTGGGTTCCAGCCCTGCTTTGGAGGTAGGGCTGGGGGCCTGGATGCTTGGGTCCTCACGGCCTGCTGTACAGGGCGAGATCAAGCTGCCTGTGTGTATTGAGGACGAGGGTACTATGGAGCTGCTGCCGGCTGCTGTACTCTTCCGTGCTGCCCGCCGGCACATCTATGGTGTCCTCTTCAGCGTGGCTGAGAGCCAGCGGAGCCCCCAGCGTCCTGGCCTGCACTGTCACGGCCCATGTGAAGGTGAGGGAGGGGCCCAAAATCCTGGGTCCTCTGGGAGTGGTGGGGGAGAGCAGGGGGGCCTGGGACCCTGGACACCTGGATTCTCTGGGAGGGAAGTGGGAGCTGGGGGGTGAGAGCATGGGGGGCTGGAAGCCCAAACAGCTGGGTTCCCTTCTCAGTTCTTGGTGAGAGTTAGGGTGTATCTGAGTCAGGCTGGGGAGCCAGGACTCCTGGGTTCTTTGTGAGAGGCAGGGACGCTGGTGGGTCAAAGTAGAGGGTTCTGGGAGCCCAGATATCTGGGTTCTCTTCCCAGCTCGGTGCGGGGTTGGTTTTGGCCCAGCCAGGCAGGACTCCTGGATTCTCCCCTGAGCTCCCAGCTCCCTCCTGCCAGCTTCTAATTCTCCTTCTCCCCCTGCCACCCTACCAGCACCACCTGTCATTGTAAAGGAGTGGGCAGCCTACAAAGGCAAGGCCCCTCACAGTCCTGAGCTGGTGCCGGCACTGCCCGTCTGTGAGTGGACCTGCCCTAACCTGAAGCAACTGTGGCTGGGGAAGGCGGCTGAGGACCGAAGTTGACGCATGCGTGCCTTTCTGGCCTGTCTGAGGGCTGACACACCTGCCATGCTCAACCCTGCATGTGTGCCCACCCACCTGCTGCTGCTCTGCTGTGTTCTCCGGTCAGTTGCAGGAGCAGGGCCAAGTAGGGGTAGGGGGAGAAATGGGCAAAGATCTGGGCCTGGATTTGATGAGAACCTAATCTCATTGCTAGGGTTTAATGGAGGGAGCGGGGCTGGGTGGATGGGGTGGGGTTAATAGATGGGGCAGGGCTAGATGGGAGGGAGCAAGGCCACATGGAGTGAAACTGCTGCAAATCCAGGCTTAGGTTTGATGAAAGCCTGATCCTACTGCTAGAGGTGGGTGGAAGGGGTGGGATTTAATGGGATGTGAGAGAACAGGATGGGAAGGAATGGGACCAGATCAGGTGTGGTGGGGGCTGCATGGGGTGAAACAGACACAGATCTTGGCCTAGGTTTGCTATGAGCCTGACCCCATTGCTAGGGCTTGATGGAGGGTGTGAAACCATGCAGGGGGAAACTGATGCAGATTTGGGCCTGGGTTTGACAAGAGCTTGATCCCATTGCTAGAAGACAGCCTGACCCCCTTGTTGGGGCTGGATGGGAAGAGGCAGGGCCATGAGGGGCAAAACCAATGTTGATCTGGGCCTGGGTTTGCTGAGAGCCTGATCCTATTGCTAGAGCAGGATGGGAGGAGGTGGGGTTTGATGGGAAGGGGCATGTCCTATTATGGGGAAACTAACAGGGATCTGGGCCTGGGTTTGAGAGCCTGATCTTATTACTAGGGCTTGACGAGAGGGAACGGGGCTTGATGGATGGTAGTAGGGCTGGATGGGGGGAAACCAATGCCAATCTGAGTCTGGGTTTGTTGAGAGCCTGACCCCATTGCTAGAGCTGGATGGGAGGGGGCGAGGTATGATGGGAAGTGGGAGGGCTGGATGGGAGCGGGTAGAATTGGATAAGAGGGAGTGAGGCTGTGTTTTTTGTGGGGGTGGGAAATGATGATCTGGGCCTTGGTTTGCTGAGAGCCTAGTCACATTGCTGAAGGAGACTGGGTGGGGCTGGATTGGGGGGGCAGGGCCACCTGTGGTGAAACTGATGAGCCTGGATTTGCTGAGGGCTTGGTCCCATGGCTAGAAGAAAGGGGTTGGCTTTGGGAGGGGGCTGGATTGGAGGAGAAGGCCACATGAGGTGAAACCGACACTGATCTGGGCCTGAGTTTGTTGAGAACCTGATCCCACTGCTAGGAGAGAGGGGGCAGAGCTAAGTGGGAGGGGCAGGGCCAAGTGGGGTAAAACTGATGCTGATGTGGGAGCGGGGATGGGACCCCGGACACCTGGGTTCTCTTCCCTGCTCTGGAAGAGGAGTGGGGAGGGCTGATGGATTAGAGGTCACCTAAGCTGCCTAGAAGGGTATTGTCAGGTGGGGTGGGGGATCTGGGAGTCTGGATTCCTGGATTCTATCCCATCTCTGAGAGGGGAGTAGGAGCTGGTGAGTTGGAACAAAGGGGATCAGGGACTCAGACACCTGGGTCCTCTAGAAGGGATTATAAGCAGGGTGGGCATTGGGAGTCTGGATGCCTGGGTTATCCCCATTCTGGGAGGGGAGTAGGGGGAGTTGATGGGTGAAAGCAAAGTGTGGTCAGAGGCCTGGATACCTGGGTTCTCTAGAATGGGTTATAAGCAGGGTCGGGGGCTGGGAGCCCAGACACCCGGGTTCTTTCCTTGCTCTGGGAGGGTAGCAGGGGGGATGACAGGTGAGAGCAAAGGGAAACAGGGACCTGGACACCTGGGTTCTCTAGAAAGGGTTTGTCAAGGAGGAACCAGGTACCTGGATGCCTGGGTTCTCTCTCTGCTCTTGGAGGGTAGTGGGAAGCTGTGAAAGTTTGGGGGGTACCATAGCCCTTCCCCTCCATCCCTTCCCCCTGGGATCCTGATATAGCACCTGCCCCTAGGTACATGGTGCAGTGGCCAGGGGAGCGGATCCTGCACCGGCAGGACCTGGATGCTTTCCTAGCCCAGGCTGTGTCCCCTCAGCTCTGCGAGCCAGGTCAGCTCCAGGAACTCAAGTTAGGTGTGCCTGGATGCCTGGGTTCTCTGGGACAGGAGTTGGGGCTCAGGGGTGAGAGCAGGGGGTGCTGGGAGCCTGGATGCCTGGATTCTCTGGGAGATGAGTTGGGGCTGGGGGGTGAGAGCAGGGTTGCCCTGGTCTGAACAGGCGCTAGCCAGGCCCCCTCCTTGCAGTGTTATAGGGGACTGTTTCCCAGCTACCCCACCCCAGAGTTGGCTGCATCTCATCCCTTTCCCAGTGGCGGTATAACCAGCTGTTCCACCCCTGAGCCGGCTGCAACTCCCCAGTGTTACACTTGACCATCCCCAGCTGCCCTGACCCAGCTTTGGCCACATTTGTATAGCCATTAAACTCTACTATTCCACCCCAGAGTCAGCCTCATCTATGTAATTTATACTCAGCTGGCACAAGCTGCCCCACAATAGAGCTGGCCACGTCTATGTAGCTGCTATACTTGGCCATTCCACCCTGGCACTGATTGCACCTAATAACTGGCCACATCTCTATATCAGTTATACTCCAGCATTGCACCCCAGAGCTGGCTGTTTTTATAGTTGTTATATTCAGCTGTTGTACCCCAGAGCTGGTTGCATCTCTATAGTTCTTATACTCAGCTGTTACACCCCAGAGCTAGCTGCTTCTGCATAGCAGTTATACTCAGCCATTAAACCCCAAAGCTGGCTGCATCTCTATAGCTGTTATACTCAGGTGCCCCACCCCAGAGCTAGCCGCATCTGTGCCTGCAGCTGGAGCAGGTGGACGCGCGGGGGGTGCAGCTAGCAGCACTGGCCATGAGCGGTGTGGACATGGCACTGATGGCCAACGACGCATGTGGACAGCCACTGCCCTGGGAGCACTGCACCCCCTGGGGCTACTTCGATGGGAAGCTCTTCCAGAGCAAGCTGCAACACACCACACGATACCATGCCTCCCTGCTGGAGCTCTGTGACAGACAGGTGTGCCTGGATGCCTGGGTTCCCTGGGCGGGGAATGGGGGCAGGGGGTGAAAGCAGGGGGTTTGCGACACCTGGGTTCTGTGGGAGGGGAGGAGGGGTTGGGGGCTTGGAGAGAGGGACCCTGGATGCCTGGGTTCTCTGGGAAGGGAGGGGATACTGGGATCTGAGAGCATAGGGCAGTTGTAGCCCAGATGCCTGGGGTTCTTTCTGAGATCTGGGAAGTGAGCTAGGTGGCAATTAGAGGGTTAAACCACGGGGGTGGGGGCCAGGACACCTGGGTTCTATCCCAGGATTGTGGGGGGAGGAGCGCCTGAATCCATGGAGGGGGGCTTAGAGAGGGGTGGAGCCAGCTAACGTGACCCTATCGCCTGCCCCCCAGCCTGAGCAGGTGGCCAAGGTAGAGAAGATGCGGCAGAGCATTCTGGATGGCATTACCCAGGGGCACCAGGCTGCGCCCCTGCTGCTGCTAGCTCCGCCCTTTGCCACACCCATGGCCCCACCCTTCTACTCCACTGGCCCACCCACCCCTGTCTGCACTGGCAGCTTTGCAGGTGAGTGCTGCCCCCGCCATTCTGGTCTCTCCCTTGTTTGCTCCAATCCTTTGTGGCCACGCCCCATCCTTTTTGACCACTTCTCCTTTCCTGCTTGCTCCACCTCCTTTCTAGCCCTGCCCATTTTCTGGTCATGCCCCCTTCCTGACTCCACCCCTTCTTTCTGGTCCCATCCCCCTCCATGCCTGCCTCTTCTTGGCCTGGCCATGTTCTTTTCCTGCCACGCCCCCTTGTTTGTGAGGATGCCCTGTTCTATCTGGCCACATGCCTCCATCCTGGTTCAGGAGGTGTGAGAGCAGGGGGCCTGGGAACCTGCACACCTGAGTTCCATCCTGGCTTGGTGGGGAGATGGTTAGAGCAGGAAACCTGGATCCTGGGGTTCTCCCAGTTCTCAGAGGGGAGTGGAGGCTGGGGGGTTTTAGCAGGGGTGGGCTGGCTGGGCACCAGGGTGCCTGGGTGCCATCCTCGCTTGGGCAGGGGTTAGAACAAGGGGGCTGGGAGCTGGGACACCTGCTGATGGCTCTGGGTTGACCCTTTTGCTCAGATACCTGCTGATGGCTCTGGGTTGACCCTTTTGCTCAGATACCTGCTGATGGCTCTGATGGCTCTCGGTTGACCCTTTTGCCTTCCCTTCCCCAACCCCAGGTCTGCATCCCATCCCGCCCCAGGGGGGCAAGCTGGAGATCGCTGGCATGGTGGTGGGGCAGTGGTCCGGGAGTAAGCCTTCACGGGGCCATGGTTCCTGCGGCATGCAGGTGGTGTCTGTCGGGGGATCAGGCAAGGGTTAAGTATTGGTGGTGGGGGAGTGCTGCCCCTAATGACTTTGCAGTTTCGTGGCTCTGAATATTTGCCCTTTGTGAATATTCATAATGGGAATGTCTCTGACTACTTGTCACCTGCCCTGGTGCCTGTGACCTCAGCTTCCCTTGGATTGTTCAGCTTTAGTGAAAATATTTTAGATAAATGGATAGACAGAGGTATAGCTATATAGGTTAGATAAAGATATATAAATATAGATAAATATATTGAGATAGCTATCCTATCAATATATAAATACATATATAGATTAGATATATGCATATAGATACAGATGTAGATATATCAGTATATATGTATAAATTCGATATATAAAAATAGATATAGAAACAGAGCAATAGATATATAGATAGATGTGTGTGTATATATATATAGAGAGAGAGAGAGAGAGAAATAGGTTAGAGAGCTATGTAGATACTTAGAGATATAGATATATAGATAGTTATAGGAGACATATGTATATATAGGAAGATATAGATTAAATATATAGATAGAAAGCTATATATGTAGATTTATAAAAATATACACGCAGAGATATACCATACATTAGAGATATAGATAGATATAGAGAGAGATGGGTGTGCATGTGTATTCTAAATAAATACAAATAATGATAGTAAAGCATAAATAATGGTTCATAAAGAACATAATGTGGTAATAAGCAAATAGCTAAAAATAATAGTGATACATAATACAATTTATTAATGTAAAATAATGTAATGGTAAGTAAATTAAAGATTAGTGATAACGAATAAACAATTAAACTTTATTAGCGTAGTGTAACAATACAATACTGATATGTGATAGCAATATATAAACAATGATGTTTTATTAGTGTAATATAATACTAAGTTATAAAAATAAGTGATAGTGATGTATAAAATAAATAAGGCAGCTTTATTAGCATAATGATAATACAATGCTAAGTTAATAAATATAAGAGATACGGTTGGGATACATAAATGACAAAGCTTTATTAACATAATATGGTCATTAATATAATGCTAAGTAAATAAAAAATGACAGTGATAAAGCATAAAATAAATAGTGAAGGTTTATTAGCATTATGCTAAATAATATTATTCTAAATAAAGATAACTGATAGTGGATGTGTCTACACATGCAATTAATGTGAAGCAATAAACCCTGGAGCTTATTGCACAAGAGTTTATTGTTCTTGGGTGTGCCATTTGAACGTGTTCTTGGGACTGCAGCAGGTTGAGCTGGGTTGGCCCAGCACCAGCTGGCAGTGGCCCGGGGGTCAGCTTGCCAGCCTGGGGCTGCTCCCCCCTGATTCAATGGGCTGCAGAAGAGCTGGCTGGAGTACAAGAGTGCTCCCAGAGCAGGGCTAGCTGGCAGGCAGCCCTCTCATTGAAGCACCCTCATGCCCCAGCCAGCCAGGGCAGCATCTATACATGCACTGCTGCAGAGTAAAAAAAACAAAAAAAAACAAAACAAACAAACAAACAAAAAAAAACACGTCTGCAGCAGGATAGTACTTATATTTACAAGACTTTCCTGCTGAGGAGTAAATTAATTTACTCCAGCCTAATAGGGGCATACCTGTAGACACGCTATGTTTACTGAGGCAGTAAACATCTTGTGTAGGCATGCCTGGTACAGTAAAAGCTCTCTTATCTGGCATCCTCTGGGAATAGGGGATACCAGATAACAAAATATGCCTGGCTGCCGCTTCTTCCACCACATCCCTCCGCCCCGCTGTCCCTCCCGCAGCATTGCCACCCCTCCCACATGCCCTGTGGGCCCTGCGGGATGAGGAGGCGGGTCCTGCACAGCCCCACACAGCCTGTTATGCCCCCAGGCCATGGGGGCTCAGAGAAACTGGAAGTGCCACAGTGAGCACTTCTGGTTTCACTTTTCCTTACAAGCCGACATGCTGGTTAACAGAGCATGACAGCTTGTAAGGTGCCAGTTACCAGAGAGTTTACTGTAATATATATGTAAAATAGGAAATGAAGCTTTATTAGCATAGTATGGTAATTAATATAACACTAAGTAAGTTAACATAAAAAGTAAGGCATAGAATACATAATAAAGCTTTAATAAAACATAATATAATAATATATGATATGCCAAGTAAATACATGAAAATAAATAACAGGAATATATACACACACACAGAGTAAAGAAAAATGCAGCTTTATTAAAATAATCAATGGGCCCTTTCTCATTATTGGAGAAAAACATGCTAATTAACCATAATAATCCCTATGGACTATTATACATTTTTAAATGGCTTTTAATTCTTTTGTTAATTCTTCTTCTGGACCTTAAAGAAGAGTTATCCAGAAGGAATCGGATTCATTATGAATTTGGTCTCCTTGCATTTTCTTGTTTGTCATATTTAATATTCATCCCAATTAGAAGCATTGTTGGCCAGTGGTATTCCCCTCTTCCTTACCTCTCTAATTAGAAGAGGCAGGTTCCAAGAGATGACTCTTTGGATTGTTTGAAGCAATTGTTATTAATTACTTGTGCTTCTTATCATTAGAATAATGATTGGGAATCAACCTAATTAATTAACCCTAATATTACAGGTATTAAGGATCCTTGTTTATTATTCAGCATCCCCAGTTGAAAGCCTTATTGAGCGTGTATCTCATTATGCATATATGAATTAATCCTGGCAGTGACCTTACTGCATTGTTAGTCTCAGTTAATTCATTAGGCATAGTTAGTCTATTTATAATGGCTTATATTTGATTCTTCTTAATGTTAATGATGATTATTTAATTACTTGACTATTGTGAAAAACCTATAGGGGATGGAAAGCTGTCATAATTAGTCATTGCTAATTACCAAGGATCCTGGTTTTCTCTGATTAAGAAATAGCAAATTCTCTGATTAAAAACCCTGGAATCCTCATTCTTCTGCGATTAAAACAAAACATCACTATATATTTAGGTATGTTTTATTGATACATTGTTTTATTGATACATTTACAATTTTAAAGCAATTTGGAAGCCTACCAGTGCCTCAATCCCTATAGTAAAATAAAATCTAAATACCTATACATTTAGCCCTACCTATGCCATTGTCCCTCACTCCTAAACCACAGCCCCCAACCCTGCTTGTGCCCTAACATCCTATCCACAGCACCCTGCCAGAGGGGGACAGGGAAGGTTTGAAATCCCACCCTTGCTTATAGAGCAAGTATTGTATTTATGTGTCTACTACACATCTCTTTCCCTCCCCACTCAGCCAAGAAGATGCCTTGTGGGTAAGACGGACTTTGAATCTGAGTTCCTCATTAAGTTGTAGCTCGCTCCCCCAGTTTCCCATCGTGGGTTTTGGGGAAAGCGGGGAGCATGGTATGCTAAGAAATAACGGTAGGGGCAGGGGTTGGCCATGCAGGAGTGGGAGTTGCCTACGTCAGGCTGGGTGGCTGTGGCCAAAAGAGTTGGCAGCGTGTGTTGTATAATTATTCTTCAGCTGGATCTTCCAAGGGCTCCTTCTGATAGAAGATCCAGCATCAGAAAAACTAACAGTTGATTCTGATGGATCTTCTGATGGTTCCTTTGGATGATTCTGTGGATGGTCCTTGTGACTAGTTCTTCTGATTCCAGTGGTTCCTTGTGGTGGATCTTCTGATAATGGATATTCCAATGAATCTGATGGTTTCTTCCAACAGTTCCTTCTGATGTTTTTCTGATGATGGATCTTTCTGACAGTTCCAACTGGCTCCTCCACTGATTCCTCCAATTGTTCTTCTGATGGTTCTTCAGATATTTCTGCTCAGCAGCTGGGTGGATTCTCCATCCCCCGGGTATCCTTTGGCCAAGAGGTGGCTCTTCCCTGCTGCTGCCTTCTGAGTCCATGACAAAGGAACTGGTGTCTCTGACAAAGTGAATCTAGCTAAACCCTGCCTCCCCCTCCCTTCCTCTGCTGGCAAGGTGTTCTTTTGACCCCCTTGGCTTGTCTTCTTGGGGGATCATGACCTGGAGCCAATTCCAGCACTCAGCTGCTGGCAATATCCCAGCATTTGCTTCTGGCTGGGACCCAGGCATCCTGTGCTTCCCCACCACACTGGGAAAGAATCCTGCCCATGCAGGGATTCCTTGTCCTGGGGTTTAGGAGGTGGGGGGCGGAAGGGGATGAATAGTAGCTGGTCAGGGGGATCTCTGCTGTCAGAGGATGGAGATGGGGCTGTCAGCTGGGGTTCAGGAAGCTGGGGGTGTTATTTGTGTCCGAGACTGATCTCACTGGGAGTGAGGTGGGCTGTTTTGGGGGATTTGACGTTAGAAGTTTAAAACTTGGGGCGTGAAATGTGTCCATATCCTGCCTCAGGTGGTCAATAGATCCATCCATCCTCAGCTGCCCCCTCTGTCTGTCTACCCTCATGGATGTCCTTTATCCAGCTAGACAGACAGATGTCCCCATGCACCTCATCCATTCATCCAGCTAACTGTCCATCCTCACACACACCCTTTGGTCTGTCTAGCTACCCACACTCTAATGTATCTGTCCATCCATTTGTCCACCTATGCTCTTTATCCAGTTGTGTATCTATCCCCAAACCATCTGTCTATCACAACACACCCTTTATCTATTCATCTGCCTAGCTATTCCCAGACCATTCATCCCCATACACCATGTATCCTACACACCCTCTATATATCCATCTGTCTAGCTATCTCCACACCATCTCTCCATCCCCACACCATCTGTCCCCACACACCCTTTATCAATCTACCCATCCATCCCCACACACCCTATTGACCACCCCTACACACTCTTTATGCAGCTGCCTTATCTCTACCCATACATATCATCCATCTACCTGTCCTCACACACTACTTTGTCTGTCTGTCTAGCTAGCTGTGTACACATCATCCAGCAGTTCCCACACACTCGCTGTCTATCCATCCCTGCACACCCTTTATCTATCTGCCCAGCTATACCCACACACCTCATCCATCCATGCATTCTACACCCTTTATCTTTCCATCTGTTTTTAGCTATCCCCACACCGTTCATCCACCCACCCGTGCCCAGGCCCATTCTCCCCCCTCCTCTTCCTGGCATCTACTCCTTGCCTGTTGCCCAGACCTCTTCCTTCAGACGCCATTTTTCTGCTACCCAGATACAGCTCCCCCCTTGACACCCCTATGCTTAGCCCCCCCCTCCCCCCAGCATGTCTAGCACTGGCTTTTAGGCTGGGTTTTTGTTTGTTTTTTCCCCCAAAAGCCCTGTTTGCACACCAAAGCCTCTCTCTCACTCCCTGGGAAAGTCTGACCCTAGGCACCACAATCTGCGTGTGAGGCTCGAGGAGAATCCACACTGTGCCCCCAGAAGAGCTGGATGGACCAGTCAGAATAAAAGTTTATTCTTTTAGCTGTCAGCGCCTGGTGGTGTCCCTTGTGTGCGGGGGTGGGGTGGGGGGTGGATGCCTCGGTTCTTTCCCAGCTGTGGGAGGTGAATAGGAACTGTGACGCCAGGGCTCTTTCCTACCGAGGGGAGGGGGTTGGTTCTAGCGGATTAGGATTGCGTTGGGGGTGGGAGCTGGATGCCTGCGTTCTAGCTCCCTCCCCCATTCAGGGAAAGCAGATGGAATCTCCCCCACCCCCAAAATGGCCAGGATGTCACTCTCAACATGGCACCTACAGGCCCCGCCCAGATGGTGCCTTCTCGCTGGTAACGACAGGCAAGCACCAGTCAAGGTAGCCGCCTTGCTTCCCCTTTCCCGCCCTCCCCAAGATGGCGGCGCCGGTGACTTTTCAAGCGGGGCTGCGGCCACTCAAGATAGCACCTTCAGCCTGCCCCCCCAATCGTTGGCTCTCTTCCATAGCGGACCACCCGCCGTCTCCCTTGGCTTCACCATCTCAAGATAGCTGCCGCCCGTTGGCTTGCTTCACCTGCCACTCCCAAGATGGCTGCCCCGTCGTTTTTCCTGCCACTCTCAAGATAGCAGTCGCCCTTGGCCTGGCTCAGGTTCCACGCTCAAAATGGCCGGCACTTCTTAGGCCCTACCCTGCCACTCCCAAGGTGGCCGCTCCCACTAAATCCTCCTTCCCCGCCCCTCTCAAGATGCTGCCCCGAACCTCCTCAAGATGGCAGCTTCGCTAATTCCCACCCCCACCCGCTATTGACCTCCCCAAAATGGCGGCGGCTCCTCCTCCTCCCCCTCTCTCTTCCTCCTTCCCCACCTTTTCCGTGCTTTGAATAAACTTTATTGAGCAGCCAGAGCCTGAGCAGGCGCTGGGGCCGAGCAGGGACCGCGCCGGGAACCCCCCACGCGAGGCGGAGGAGGAGAGGCGGCCGCGTGGGGGGTGGGAAGAGGCCATATCTCCCCCAGCTTCCACGCGCGCGGAGAGGGGCGAGACCTCCGCCCCCCCCCGCCACGCACGCCCTGTGGGGAGGTGGTAACCCCCCTCAGGGGAGACGGGCGAGAGCCCTTCCCCCCCTTAAGGAGAGGGAGTGGGAGAGGAACCGGGGGGGCAGTTGTGGACTTTCTCCCTCTTTCTGAGGGGAGTTGGGGTCGGGTCGAGCCCCTGTGGGGAGGGGCGAGGATTCCCCCCAGGAGGGGGGGAGGGGTTGAAGGGCAGCTGAGGGGGGGCTTTGGGCCCCCAATGTATTTTTTTGGGGGGTGGGGGGCAGTAAGGTGAGGTGAGTGGAGAGACGGCTGTATTGGGGCAGGAGGGTGTCTGTGAGTCTCAGGGTGCATGCATGTGTGTAAATGTGTGTACAA